CTGCCAGATGGGTGGGGGTACAAGTATAAGCCCCAGGCTGATTGACCCGAGAGGGGTTCAGTCAGGTGGTAGAACTGCTGAGGGAAAAGTGTGGCTCCAAGAACAAGAAGGGAGAAGAGGAGCGAGGGAGCAAGGGAAAGGGAGGCTATGGTGATGTCCTCTTCCTTTGTCGTCCGGGTGAGGCAGAAAGCCAGGGTTCAGTGCTGTACTCCCCCCTTATCTGAAAGCTCTCTTAAGGGGAAAGGGCGAAGGAGCGGGAGTTAATGAGCAGTAAGCTATCTTCTGCAATGGGCTGGAGCCCACAGGTCCTCCGGCAAAATCTGACCAAGAAACAGGCACTTCCGGAGTAAATCTCTGAACTTGCATCCCAGAGGGGCAGGATGGCAGGTCACTGTAGTCCTGTGGTCATCCTGCCTCCATCCTGGCCCCAGCACCCACCCTCACCTAACCCTTTAATCTAGCTTGGGCCGCTCCAGGCCAGCTTTGCCTGGATGCCCCCAGGCCCAGTGCTCAAGGTAAGCTTTCCCTACTCTGGTGTGTAAGAGGACAAGGGAGAGGACTGTGGGACAGTCGCTGGGGACAAAGAGAAGCCCGTGCCAGCCTTTTCATGTTCCTGCTGCCAGTCTAGCCGGCTGCCAGGGTTCAGATTGGGCTGCAGGCAGAGTGGGAAGGGGCAGGCTTCTCACAGAAACCACACTAGCCAGACATGAGATTACTGCCAGGAACCTTTGTGAGAGGAGCTGAGGTCGAAAGCATAATTCAAGGCCAGCCCCAGCACTTACCAGCCTTTTTCCTGAGCAGCTGGTTTAACCCTGCTGAGACCCAGCGTCCTCACTGAAGAGTGGTAGCAATCAGGTTCCTCTCCAGGCGAGACCGGAGTCTGGCCCCGTCAGTGTCCAGGATTAGGAATGAGCACAGACTCAACTCTTAAGAGTTTTAAGCAAAGGCGGCCTAAACGAGGAGTTGGGGAAAGAACGTGAAGCTAAAGCCACAAGCCATTACTTCACCGTTTATGAGGCAGGTTCTAGGACTTGGTCCCAAGACTGCAAAGTCTACCAGGACAGTGAAGAGTTCCTAGGGCAGACATGGGCTCGGCAACGCTCAACGGAAGGTCTGGAGAAGGTAGAGATGTAGGAAGGGGGACGGAATGCCAAGGATCTGGGGAATGAGTGAGTGACAGAAAGCGGGGAAAGTGGCCCTGCAAAGCCTGGGGTGACAATCCCAGTGAGTCATGGGAAACCCAGGAAAATTAATGGGGGGGGAGGGGGACTGAAGGGTGGCACCCAGCAGCCTGACTGGGAAGCTGCTACACAAATCCAGATGTAAAACAGTGGGGCCGAGAAGGCTGAGCAAGCAAGCTTCCGTGTGTAAACAGGAGGAGCCAGAGACAGCTGCTGTTGAGGGAGGATGTGGCCCCGGGGTCACGGGGACACTGAGGAAAGAATGGGAGGGACAGACAGCAACATGCAAACTGCTGGCTGAGATGCTGCGATTTTAAGGTGAGCGGGGGACAGACACAGCAATCTAGGGGACACGAGATACCTGTGGCCATTGTCTCAGCCAGAGGACTGGAGATACGCATAGTAGGTACGTTGCCGAAGTTATAGAGCAATTAACAGAAGAGGTGCCGCCTTACTGTGCAGGACTGAACACAGCTGAAAGGTACTGAGTCGACACTCTTAAACGGCCCCACGTCTCTCCTTGGAACTTTTTAACCACCACCACCACCACCAATCCGGTGTGTCCCTTGCTATTGGCAGCAACTCATAGCCAGAGTCCTCGGTGTGCTGTACTCACTGGAAGACCAAAATCAGATTTAGAATTTAGACTTAGAAACCACAGGCAGGGAAATTTGTTCAATTTCATACCGGTTACATATTAAAGGGGACGTATTAGCATAAATAAAAAAATAGTGTTTAAAAAATCAATTCCACCTGCTCTGCTTTTGTAACGTGGCTCCTGTAAGATGTGCTGTCTCCTATGTGGGGCACATTTGATCCCAGGGGTCTTTGCTGCCCTGGCATCCCCAGGAGGGGCTGATGCAGCTCTTACGGATGTCCTGTGGGTCAGCATAGGAACACGCTGGGAGAGGGGCTCCCCCGACGGAAGTGAGACCTGCCTCTCCATACAGTTCCGGTCTGATCTCTGTCCATGGTGTGCACGTGTTCACTTATGCTTCTCGCTGGCCACACTGACCACTGTTAGACACACGTAGGGCACTCACCCAGTCCCTGCTGGGCTTACTTACATTTCTCCTCCTCCTCCTCCTCCTCCTCCTCCTCCTCCTCCTCCTCCTCCTCCTCCTCTTTTCTCTTTTTCTGGTTCTTTCGAGACAGGGTTTCTCTGTGTAGCCCTGACTATCCTGGAACTCACTCTGTGGACCAGGCTGGCCTTGAACTTGAGATCCACCTGCCTCTGCCTTCCCAGTTGCTAGGATTAAAGGTGTACACCACCTTTTTTTTTTCCTAGCTATTTTTTTAGCTAGCGTACAAAACAGTAGGTTTCACTGTGGCACTTTGAGACAGACCTGTCATTATACTTTATCCATCTCTATCTTCCCTCCTTTCATTAGTCCCCTTCCTCCCTACAAATACACATTTTCATTTTAAGTTTTAAGTGTGTGTGTGTGTGTGTGTGTGTGTGTGTGTGTGTGTGTGTGTGTGTGTGTAGGTCTGTCAGGAGTCAGTTCTCTCTCTCCCCCTTCTGTGTGGGTACTTCAGACTGAACCTAAGTCATCAGTCAGGCTCACCAGCAAGCACCGCCACCATTCCAACAGCCACCATGTGCCTTTCCAAGTCCTGCTAGAGCACCCTTGGACAGTCTGCTGTATAGACTGGAGATGCAGTGACAGGAAGGGAGTGAAGGTAGCACGGATGGGCACCTCAGTGCACAGGCCATGCTTCGAAGGCTCCTTCAGCCCTTCTAGGAGAAAGCAGACTTTAGGCTTGCTGTTAGCCACAGGTGCTAACTCTCTGGTCCTTCGTTTAAGGATCAACGCAGTTTAAGAAAGACCTGAGTTTGAGCCCACACTTGTCATCGGGGCTCTAGGAGAGATGGAGACAGGTGACTCCCTGAGACTCTGGTCACCCAGGCTAGCCCACGTGACAAAGCAGGAGCTGGGATGAGGGTCCAGTGGCAGAGCACCTACTAAGCTCAACTGAGATGCTGAGTACAATCCCCAGCACAGGAAGGGAAGGGGGGTTGCGGTGGGGACAGGTTTGTGCAAGGATGACTGAGGCAGACCCCTTCCTGGTCGGCGTATACCTTGACATGTGTGCCTCCATACTCGTGAATCTGCACACACATGAACACTTGCACGTAACACAGACACACAAAGCAATATAAGAACGTCACAGACAACTGAGGAGACGAAGAAGAAAACCGCTACCACGATCACTTCACACATATTCTTAAGTGCTTCCTTCCCCCCCCACCCCATTTTCTGGTGTGGACTTTTATTCTTGCTCACTAGCTGTCATGATGCACGATGCTTTTTTCATTTCATGCTCCTGTGCAAAGCAGGTTTCCACATGACCCCAGTCTTCACGACAACTACAGTTAGCCAGCCCCTCTGGCTAGACGCTGGGGCCTTTTTCAGGTACATATGAGCAGCTCAGACAAGGACCGTTCCTGTGACTTTAGATCCCATGCTGTAAATACCTTCTACCCACTGCGAGCCTTTGACTTCTTCGGCTTCTGTTTGTCTTTATTCTTTACAGTCCGGCTGCAGGAAAGTCACCCACATCCCTCTACACCCTCTTACCCCACCTCCCACTTCATCAGCCCCTCATCTGACACATACATACCCAGGACTCAGCGCTCAGGCTGGCCTCCTCCACCTCTGTGCCCCCTCCCATAACGCCCCTGCCCTTCTGGTGAACCCCAGAACTCGATGCTGAGCTCCAGGCCTTACCCCCAGCCAGCCAGATAGAGTTGGGCCCTCGGATACAGATACTCTTGGATCCAGATGCAAATACCTTTGCCAGCAATGGCCACACCCTGCCCCTTCCTTCTTCAACCCTTCACCATGTTTTCTTCCCCATTCGGCCGCCAGCGTTCTGCTTCACGCCCCGGCAACTCCGGGTACCTAACTGGGTTTCTTATCTCTAATCATGCCCTCCCACCCAGTCACCATGTCCAGGTCCAGAGTCCAATTGAAATACGTCTATTTTTTTTTTTTTTCAAAATGCAATTCTGCCAACAGCACACCCTCCCTCCCACACTAAAAACCTTTCTGTGGTGGGAGGCCCCTGGGCACACTGGTGTCATGTTTCCTTGTTAGAGATTGCCTTTCCCCCACTTCCATTTCTAAATAATTTCTAGTTCTCTGAGGCCTGGCTTACAGTCAGCTCCTCCAGGAAGTCCCTGAAAGCCTCCTGGCTCCCTCCTTCCCCTCCCAGGCTGATGTGCCGCCCTACAACTCCTCCTTGCATGTGGCCTCTATCCTCACTCCACCTTCCTCAGTGCCATCTATCTCACCATCCTCACTCCCCATCCTGAAGACAGGGTTTACCCTACCATCTCGCTCACCTTGACGCCCTTGGACCCAGCACAAGGCTTGGTGCCGCACCGTGACCAATATATAATGCCAAGCTCGTGGCCAAGCAGACACTGACAAACATCTTGACATATGATCGTCTTCTATACCAGAGGGCATCTTCTTCAAAGTGATGGACAGAGACTGGGGTCAAGTACCGGAAGCTAAGCAGCTCCCTAAAAGGCCGGGGCAGTTCCTACTCCACCAGCAGGCCAGGAGCCCCCTTTTCTCTTATTGTATGCTGGCGGCCTGGTTTATCTTCATCATAGCTTTTTATTTTTATTTTTATTTATGTGATGATCATTTTATAAACAAAACCTGCCTTTGGTTTCTGATTTGTATGCCTTTGCCTACTAACAAGGGTGAACATTTTTCTATATATTTGCCTACAAAATGCATTTTTTTTCCCCTTTGAGAATTCAGCTGCTGGTGTGACTGTTAAGGGAGGGTAGTCCTTTCAGAGATGGTGCTGGGGGCTGAATGGGGAGTGGGCTGGCTAGGGTCACATGGAGACTGCAGAAAACAGGAAGGACAGAAACAAAGAGGCCTAGGGAAGCCAACCTGGGGACTGCCGCGGTGAGTGAGTGTGGAAGAGGGAGGAGCTGGGCTGCATGCTGGCTTCTGGCTTAGTCACCCTCAGGCCCTCTGTGCTGAGAGGGTTCCCATGTACGCGCAAGCACAAGGCAGGTTCTTGGAGTAAATCCTAAGCACAGATGGTGTGGAGCCACTCTTAAGAGTTAAGGGAATCTGATGTAGGTGGCCTTCCTCAAAGAGACCAGAGAAACTATCGGGGGAGTTAGAGGGCAGACAAAGACTGGAGATAAGGGTTATAAGAAGGAAGAGGAGAACGTGAGGAGAACATGTTATCAATACCCTTAGCAGCTGAGGTTTGGTGAGTTTACAATGTGCAAGGCTTGTTCTGGTCACCGAGCTGATATTAACTCCGAGTTCAGAGTCGGCCTCTGAGGAGACGCTTCTAATTCCTACGTCTCACAAACGAATACTGAGGCCCAGAAGGCCAGTTTTGCTAACAAATGGTGAGACACCAGACTTCAAAACAGGCACCCGCTCCTTGTATCTGCTCTTTATTACGAAATCCCCAGGCCCACTCCCTCCACACCACGACTGTGGTTTGAGCTCGGTGGGAGGAACACAGGCTCAGGTTGAACCCGCTGCCACCCACGTGTATGTGCCCAGCTCTTCACTCCCAGCTACCAAGGCTTTCTCCTCTTGCACTCACTCACCCCTCCCAGACCCCCATCCAAGATCAGCCTCACCACAATTCATTAAGCACACCAAACCCAAATGCTACCATCCCGCAGGCCTGCCCAACTCACACCCCGCCATGCCGCTGTCCAAAGCGTCGGATGGGACTCAGTGCTCCTTTAGACAGATCCTGCCAGGCTGATGAGCTTCTCCAGCTGCATGAGGGGCAGCTGGGTAGGAGGGTGGGAGGTTTGTTTGTTTCTGTTTTTTTTTGTTTGTTTGTTTGTTTGTTTTGTTTTTTTTAAGAACTGGGATGAAGCTGGGGCACAGTCCGGTGGCAGTAACCTTACCTAACGTGTGAGGCCCTGGGTTTGACCCCCAGCACTGTAAAGACAATGTAAAGACAAGGTATAAACCGTCTTACATATTACCAGAAAGACACAATTGTCAGCAAACCCTGTGAGGTGTAAGGCAGATTGTCCACTGTGCTGTCATGTGTGGAGGGGGGTCAAAGGAACAAGGGGTGCTTGCCGTGTTATCTCTATGTGCCTTCTCTGGCCAGACCATCTCTGGAAGGGTGCACGACACACTGACACCGCTGGCCACCTCCACGAACAACCACAAGGACCTTTGTGCCGTGCAAAAACTCTTGAATCTGTTTGAATGTCTGCGCTGTGTGAACGGGATAATAGGTTCCTACTCGGCAATCAAGTAAAGCAGGAAAATCCTGTGTAAATAAGTCTCTGATGCCCTCCCCGACTCCCCACCACCCCAGGGCGAAGAAGAGACTCCTGTGGCGGGTCTTCCTGTCTGCATTTGGTTTCTTAGGCCTGTACCTATACGGGCTCCGTATTCTCAGGTACTCCTCCTTCCCCAGGGTCAGGGTTAGAGTGGATCTTTCCAAGGGCTTCCTGGAGGGAAGGAAGGAGGTTTGCTTAGCCTGGGCAAATGTTCAATGGGTTCTCCCTACCAGACAAGGACCATGCCAAATGTGCCTTCCTGCTTCCACAACCCACAGGCACTTAGAAGTCTTCATCCCCATGGGCATATGCCCTCCAGCCACCGTGCCTCTGCTCAGGGACAATTTCACGGGTGTTCTGCGCCACTGGTAAGCAGCCACCATTCTCCCACTCAGAATGTCCACAGATTGTACAGGTCTGCCCAGGCCCCTGTTCTCTTCTCACCCACACACAGTCATTCTGTCTTTGGGAAGCCAGGGGCCCCATCAGGTCCCTCATCACCCACTCTATCTGGTTGGTTCTAAGCAAGGGGTCCTTAGGGACAGGTCTGAGATGTTTGTGAGTCCCCAGGGCCCAGCCATGGGGAAGTGGCAATAAGCAGGTACCAAACAGCTGGGTGAACATAACTGTCTTTCCTGCTCCTCCTGCTTGTGGCCAGGGCCAGGCCTGAAGTCCTGACCTGTACCTCTTGGAGAGCCCCAATTATTTGGGATGGCATGTTCGACCCACTTGTAGCTGAGCAAGAGGCGAGACGGCAGAACCTCACCATCGGACTGACTGTCTTTGCTGTAGGCAGGTAAGGTTCAGGGAGGGGGTCACGCTTCTAGGGAGGGAAAAGGAGGGTGTGCACATACACGCACGGGAATTCACAGAGCCTTGTGCCATGCCATAGGAGCTCACAGTGGAGGCTACAGGCTGTATCCACTGTCTCAGACTCTCAGGCAAGCACAGAAGCACCCCGGGCTGTCCCCTTCTCCCTGGGCATCAATGCCAGAGTCCACCCAGCAGCCAGGGCTCAGAACTACTCCTGAAAAGGAATGTGCCTGGGGGTAGGTCCGGCACACATGGGAACACGGGGTTTGTAATGAGGACACAAAAAAGCTTTTCAGATTAATGAGGAGAAAAGGGGGGCCAGCATCTAGCTAAACGAAGGTACTCAGTGTAGGTGACACACAGCACAGCAGTGGCTTTGCCGGCGAAGTCTGATGAAGAGAGAAGGGCCGGGAGCTCGGGAATTTACAAAGCGGTGACCACAGGCTGGGTACAGAAGGACACGGGGGTGGGTGGCACTGGAGAGCGATAGATTGGAACTGACAACTGTCAGATCGCAGAGCTCAGAGGGGTAGGCCTGTTTGCAGGTGAAGGGTCAGGACAAGTGAGCTGGATGAATGAGGGTCTCAGGCAGTGACGAAGTGACGTTTTGGAGGTATGGCAGTGATGATGATCATGTCAAGGGAGTAGCCACAGAAGCAGGCGACTGAGGAGGACGAAATCATTGCCAGCGAGGCGAACAAAGGATAGGCCTCAGGCGAAGAAGGAGCCAGGTAGGTGGAAGAGACGGAGGGCAGGGCCCTCCCTCCCACTGTGGGAGGCAGGGAGAGTCCAGTGTGGTGACCACTTTGCGAAGCGGTGCAAAGGGGATTCCCGGCTGGGTGTGGAATCGGACCTGCAGCCCTAAGACACAGAGCGGTGGAGTACAGGACGGGTGGGACGTGGCCACGGCTCCTGGGAAATGAAATGAGGGCACCCACGCAGGAAGAAACACCCAAAAACTGGAGCAAAGAATTCTGAGCCGCCGGCTACCACAGAAAAACTCTTCAAGGTTTTCCTCACCGTGTCCCAAACCCCAATTAAGGGAGAGAAAGCCAGAAGGGTCGCTGCAGGACAAGGAGGCTGAAAGATCCACAGGGCTGGCCCAAGAGCAAGGCCACAGAGCTGCTGTTAACGCTCGGACCGGCTCCTCCAGCCTCTGTGCCTGCGGGCGTTAGAGCAGACCGCTCCAGGGGCCAGAGGCTCCAGAAACCGGGAGTTCGGGACCCCTCCCTGGTGTCCCAGGTTACGAGGGATGCAAAGGTCAGTCCTCCGAGCATTCTGCTTGACCTTGGGAAGAATGGCCACCGCAATTACGACTTAAAATAAATCGCTGTAGTCAGGAATTCAGGGACTCCCAGGAAGGGCTCTTCCCTGCCAGGTGTCTGAGTCTCAACTGGGAGAGCAACAACTAAAGGCCCCTGGGTGCCTCTCCCTCCCTCCACGTAAGCTCCCTCCACGGCTGGCGTGGCCTATGTATTGATTTATTTGGCTATTGTGATAAACATCCTGTCTGAAAACAGGGTTGATTTCAGCTACTTCAGTTGGTAATCGACAGAGAAAAGAAGTCAGGGCAGGAACCGGGAGGAAGGGACAGACGAAGGAGGCTTGGAAGAGCGCCCTTACTGGCATGCTTGCTCCTAGGCTTGCACAGGCTGCATTCTTTCACACCCCAGGCCCGCCATGGACCTACCCATCGTAGCTAGCCCCTCCCACACCACAGCCTACAGGCCGACCTGACTTTGGCTTTTTCGAAATTAAAGTTTCCTCTTCCCAGAAGACCCTGACTCGTGTCAGGTTGACAACAAACAACAAACAAACAAAAACCTAAACAGCACAGGCATCATAGCAGCCTCTGGTCCTGGAACCCCTCCCCCTCCTTCCACCAGGCTAAGAGTATTTCAAACACCTGTCTGCCAAGGGTGGTCCAGCTCAGTCCTGTCCGGGTCAGAGGAGTCAGAAAAAGTCCATATTCAAGGTAACAGGGCAGGGCAACTCATCCCTTCCAGGCAGAGGTGGCAGCAGCTTTCAACCCTTTAATCCACGAACCCAAGGCTGGAGATCTGGGGTTGCATGGCCCGGTGTGGGCAGGGTTGGAGGACGGAGGGACTGACTCTGGCCTGACTGCCCGACAGGTACCTGGAGAAGTACCTAGAACGCTTCCTGGAATCGGCAGAGCAGCACTTCATGGTGAACCAGAGCGTTGTGTACTATGTGTTCACCGATCGCCCGGAGGCAGTGCCCCACGTGACCCTGGGCCAGGGTCGCCTGCTGAGGGTAGAACCTGTGCAGCGAGAGAAGCGCTGGCAGGACGTGTCCATGGCGCGCATGCGCACGCTACACGAGGCTCTCGGAGGGCCGCTGGGCCGAGAAGCTGACTATGTGTTCTGCCTGGACGTGGACCAGCATTTCACCGGTAACTTCGGGCCGGAGGTGCTGGCCGATTTGGTGGCACAGCTGCATGCCTGGCACTACCACTGGCCGCGGTGGCTGCTGCCCTACGAGCGGGACAGGCGATCCGCTGCCGCGCTGTCGTTGGGGGAAGGGGACTTCTACTACCACGCCGCGGTGTTCGGGGGCAGCGTGGTGGCGCTGCGCAAGCTGACGGCCCACTGTGCGCTTGGCCAGCAGGTGGACCGTGAGCGCGGCGTCGAGGCGCGATGGCACGACGAGAGCCACCTCAACAAGTTCTTCTGGCTGTACAAGCCCACCAAGCTGCTGTCTCCCGAGTTCTGCTGGGCCCAACAAATCGGCCGGAGGACAGAGATCCACCACCCTCGGCTGCTCTGGGCACCCAAGGAGTATACACTGGTGCGAAACTAGCAGCCCCCCCCCGGCCGGCCAGGGCATCTGAGCATCTTTGGTACTGCGGGTGTGGAGCGGGGACTGTAAAATGTTTCAAGACCATGAAGCCAGTTAGAGCCAGTTACAGGGCCTCTGGAAGGGGGACCTTTGGAACTCAGGTATTGAAAAGAGGCTCGCGGGTGCCTGGAGCCCGTAGATCCTTTGTTCCCAACCAGCTGGCTGGACAGTCTTTTTGCTCTAACCAGATGCAAATTATGAGAAGCCAAGAAGCAGCTAGCTCTGCCAGGCTCTCGCAGCTTTTGTGAGCAGATAGCAAGCAGGTGGAAGTCGCAGCAAGGGGCGCCTTCTGGTGTTGAACTTTCACCTAGGCCTAGGAGTCCAGGCCTTCCTTAGCTCTTGGCAGCAGCTGAAGTCTCAGCTTCTGGGTGGGCCTCAATATCAGGGTTCCCCAGACCTTGACAGTGACCACTTTCCAGCCACCAAGCCTTCCGTACCTGAGGCTTCTGGAAGTTTCTCTGTGTCCTCACAGCCTTCCATTCGACCTCAGCCTCGGCTCTTCATCCCCTCTGCCTCTGTGGTCCCTCTTGTGTGCTCTGCTCCCTCTCTGCATTTGTTCACCTGCCTCTTCCTCCACCATCAAGCGGGCCTCCCACTCCTGCGGCTTGGCTGCCTGACCCAGGGAGCACCGCCCCTTCAGCTCCTAAGCTCCTAAGCAGCCAGCTGCCTTGTGGCTGTTGTAGCTTGGCCTATAGACCACTCGGCTGTCACTGCCTCTAGCATCACCACAGCAGTGCTGTCTCCTCCTTCATGTTACTAAATCAGCCCTCACCCTTAAGAACTGGTGAGATTTAATCCCAGCACTCAGGCAGCAGAGGCTGGCGGATCTCTGAGTTCGAGGCCGGCGTGGTCTGCACAATGAGTCCCAGGGCAGCCAGGGCTACACAGAGAAACCCTGTCTGGGGAGGAGGAGGCAGGAGAAGGTGGCAAGACCATTCAAGGGAAGGCTTTTATAGAACCAACAGTGCAATGTCAGGAGAGCAGCACGAGAGAGAAAGAGGGAGAGAGAGAGAGAGAGGAGACATCCCTCCCTCTCACCCCACCCCTGCCTATGGGCTCACTAAGAGCAGCTCAAAGTCTAATTCTATAGCCATAAAAGAGATATTTGAACCAACCCAGACTTACCTCTCTGCGATCCTCCCAGGAGTCGCTTCTGTTAGGCCTCCTCTCTGTGTGAGAATGGGTATGGAGTCTTCTAGAGTTCACAAAGCCTTTGACAGCAAAAATAAAAATAAAAAAGTCTGTTTCAAATAACCATGGTTATGGCTGTGCCTTCAGGAATCCATCATCAGCTGTGACTGTGTGGCATTCTCAAGGTGTCTGTGGACTGTGCCAGCCACCTAGTGCTGGTATGAGAGTGGTCTAGATGGCTGGTTGGCTGACAGCCCTTTGCTTAGGCAGCAAGAGAGAGTCTAATATCTACTGATGTGGAACTCGGGTTGTTCCCTCCCTTATGGCCTTTGTTTATTTACAGGACAGTGGACACCAGCAGGATATTTACGGTAAAGGCTCGGAGAACTTATCATTAACACTTGTCATAATTTTAGGAGATTTTTGACATTGCTTAACATCACCCAGGGAGGGATGAGTTCCCTTCCCCCGGGCCTTTCACCTCCCATCTTACTCTCTCTTCTTTTGAAGTTATGTTTTTGAAACAAGGAGAAGGAGACTGGGGCACAAAAAAGGGCCCAAACTGCCCAGACACAGGATCTGTTCTAGTTCCTGAAGTGATGTCAGCTGCAGGAGAGTGAGGGTTAGTCCCTCCTCCCAGCCCAAGGCCCTCCAAATGCTCCACTGAGAGAGGTCTGCAGGCTTTCCAGCCAGGGGCGTTGCCATGTTATCTCCCGTCGATAGCACAACTTGTGCAATTGAGGAATGCTATAACAAACGAGTAATTTCAAAAATGATCCTGATGGTGTTTGATACTATAGAGTGGACATTAAAAAAAAAAAAGAAAGGAAAAGAGAGAGGAGGTGGTGGTTGAATTTTCTCATCCATTCTTGTCTCTAAGAAAGACACAGGGTGCTGGGGAAGATGGCTCAGTCAGCTAAGTGTCTGCTCTTCATGTATGAATGCCTGAAGTCAGATCCTAGAGACCCCTGTGACCTTAGGCGTACTGCCACACGCTTATAACGGGGAGGCAGAGACAGGGTGACCCTCGTTGAATCAGTGAGAAGCCCTGTCTCAAAACTTGAGCTGGAGAGGCAACAGAGGAAGATTCTTAACATCCGGTCTTTCCGCACACGCACCTATACGCACACACCACACACAGGTGCTTTACTGGCCAAGTCGTTTGCCCAACCTCCTGACTTTTTTTTTTTTTTTTGCAGCCTCTGCTGTTCTCAAGGAAGGCAGTGGCTCTAGCTGTTTGTCTGGCCCAACCCTGATGTCAGTGCTTTACAATCTGATACTGTTTACAAGAAGGTTCCGGTATTGATTCTGGTATGGAGCAAACAAGCCTTTCTGCTTCCCAGCATCCTCCACCTGCACCAGATGAACAGAAGCCAAGCCCTTTGGACTCTAACAGAGGGACTGAGTGGGCCAAATGTGCTGAAAGGCAGGTGGGTGCTGTCTACAAGCTGGCATGGTCCTTCTTCTCATCAGACAATGCCTGTCCCCCATCCGGCCCTGCGACACTCACCAGTTCTAACAAGCTCTGCCCGGCTGGAGAGCTGATTGTGAGCCAGGAAGATCTTGTTGTGACTCTTCCGTTCTACAAACTCTGTGTGATGTGGACAAACTCTATTCACAGGAAGACAGGATTCCTCCCTGCAGTGTGTGGGGGGCTTGATGCTCCCTCCCTCTCTAGGCCTGTCCCATTGCAAGTGAGCAAGGTCATAGAGGGTGAGGGAGTCTCCTAAGAACAGAGGGTTTCAGGCTTAAAAGGGAGTAAGGGGCATGAGCAAGAATTTCCAAGGCCTAGAGTCTGGGCAGTCATGTGCTGCTGAGGGAGACCCTCTGAGGAGGGGGCAGGATGCAGGAAACTGCGGGGTTGGATAGGCTGGTACTTTCTTGGGATCAGTTAGCTCCCCGCCATCCTTAGAGGCAGGAGCTAGAGACAAGTTGCAGCAGGGCAGGGAGGAAGGAAAACCCCACCCACTTCTATAGCAATCTCCACAGTTGCCACTACCGTCCTAGGGGCCACAGGACTTGCCCACATACCCTGGCAGAGGAAAACAAAATCACAATCTCACCAGCGTTACAACCAAAATCTAAATAAGGCTCTGGTGCCCTGCCCCACCCCTCCACTGCTGTGCCAGTGCAGGGAACTCCCAAACAGCTCCAGCTGTCTAGGGACTGGTGGGGTCGGGGGTTGCGGGGAGGTGGGCTAAAAGCCAGCAAGGCGGAGACTAACGCAGCTGTATTGATGTTATAGGACACAGACAGGTTCAAGTGCCTCACACCTGCTGACTGACTTTACCTTACATCCGCCCTACTAAGCGGTTGCTATTATCGATCTCATTTGACACAAGATGCAACCAGGCACCGAGCGGTCAAGTAACTAACTCATCGTCAGATCACTACTAGCAGCTTAAATTCCTGAATGCCAGAACGAACAGGAAATGAAATATGGCGAGAGGTTAAAGGCTGAGGCGACCACTGTTTCCAGTCTCCCCTGGCCATTTCTACAGCCTCTGCCTCCTCTGTCTTCTGCTGGAGTCTGCCTGAACACAGTGACCCCAGCATCTAGTTTCTAGGGCCTTCCAGCTCAGTGGCCCACCATCTCCTAACAGGCTTGTTCCGGATATGTGGAGTGGAGAAGCTGACTGGAGAGGCATCGTCACAGAGTGACTTGCTGGTAAATCCTTATCAACCAGCTCTTCAAGAAAACAGGAGATGGCTCAGGTGGTCACGTGCTTCCTGTGCAAGCGTGAGGACCCGAGTTTGACCCCTAGAACACATATTAAAAAAAAAAAAAAAAAAGCTGAGCGTGGTGGCTGGCTGTAATTTCAGAGCTGGGGAGGCAAAGACAGATACTTGTGCTCCTGGCCAGCCAGCCTGATCAGTGAGCCTCAGGGAAGTGAGAGGGCCTGGCTCAAAAAAGAAAACGGAGAAAGTGGACGGAGCCCGAAGAATGGCACTCAAGGTAAGCCTTTGGGCTCCACGCTTGCTGACATACGAACATATCCTGGCTGATGCCAAACCAACACTCCTGAGTGTGTAGTGGGGGTGGGTGGGGAGTGACCACCAGTTCTAATGAGGCAGGGTGGCCCATCAGCTGTGGATAGCATGGGTAGCAGGCTAACGGGACATTTGGCTGCTGGCTCTTTCTTATATAGCGGAATACAGAGGGTCAGCCTTAGAAAAAGACCAGAGGCCCGTGTTGGGCCATGCTGGTTCCACATCCATTCTCAGTTCAGTGGTAAAATATCGTCATCAGCGCCCCCAAACGGCCTGGTCCTCAAGGATGGAGCCAACTCGGCTTGAAGGCTTTGACCCACTCAGTGGATTTATCCATCCATGAACTCATAACATGACGGCACCTGGGGAAGAAGAGCCTGGTTGGAGGAAGCAGGTCACTGAGAGCCTGTCTTCGAAGGACATGGTGGCTCTCATCCCTTCCTCTGTCTCTTTCACTCTGAGGTGAGCCACCGTGTTCTCCCACACCCTTCCACGGGGATGTCCTGCCTCCCACAGTCCCAGAAACAACGGAGCCGGCCAACCGTGGTGCTGTCTGTACAGACAGCGCCCACCAACCCAAATCCATCTTGCCTCCTCTAAACCATCTGGTGTTCGTCCACGGGATGAAGAGTCTGCAACACAAAAACTTATACCAGAGGATTAGGTCAGCGCTGGGACTATCTGAAGCCTTTGGAACTGTTCTGTGGGGGAGAATTTGGGAGCATTAGTAGAAGTCTTGACAAAGCCTACGATGCTGTGGGCGGAGCTCATGGGCAAGCCTGTTGGGAGCTTGGAAGACCAGGGTGCGGACAGCGCTGTGAAAACAAAGCCTGGGCTCACTGGGCTTCAGACGGGAACGTGCGTGCTGCTGGAAACTGGACTGCAGCTCACTCGGGTCACACTCAGGCAGAGAATCTGCCCATTTTCCTCCACATCCCTCAGCACTGATGTCTGGCCCTGCACAGACCTAGAAACAATAGAGGGTGTGTCTCGTCTCCATCCTTTCTGTGTCTCTCTGCATCCTGGCTGCCACAGGCTGACCATCTTCCGGCTTCCGGGCCCTCTCTCCTTGACGGTCAAGCCTCAGGCCTGAGAGCCAATGGAGTGATACCAAGAGCCAATGGAGTGATATTGTAAGCCAAGAGCAGTCCGACCCCCCCCCCCCAACCCGGCTATTTGTCACGGTGACAAAGAGTCTAAAGCAGGCCTGGGGCAGAGCGGTACAAAGATGACCCAGCCTGCTCTCCACACAGCCCCCCGACACAGCACCAAGCACTCTGTACGCGGCCACTGCCCGGGTGTAGGTACGGTTTATTCTTCACATCAGAGAAATACAAAGAGCAGAGGGGTTGCAACCCTTCGTCTCTCGCCCCCAGCCCCCGGAAGTGTTCCTCTCCCATGTTTGACTGGTTTGGCTCCACTCCCTTCTTTAAATAGGGCATAAGCTTCTCTCCTGACAAGGGCCACCTGCCCTTGCCTCCCTGCCACCAAGATGCAGACTGAGAAGCCAACAGACCGTTTTCTCTTTTTTAATAAGGTAACTATTTCTAAATACGGTGGCCTGGAGGTCCCACAGAGGGGGGGGGTAAAAAGCAAAGGATGTTAACAGTATCGGAACAGCGTATTTACAGGGTAGTTAACATGCAGACGAAAAGCTACAATACTGAGTATCAGACGACGCAAGTCAAACAAAGGGGTCAGGGTTGGGGGGGAGCTGTGGCACCCCCCCCCAGTGGAAAAGAAACCCCAGGAAACGTTAAACTGGTAAATCAATGGCGAGTTAAGGCTTAAAAAGTGTATAAAAATAACACAGTTAATATTCAAATGGACTCCAGATACAGAATATATAAGATGAGTTTTGTCTAGTTTTCTTCTTCTCTGGGGGGAGGATGCGGAAGGGTTCTCTGGGTTCTGTACATAGTTTCTATATACACGGACACGCATGGCTTTCGGATTGGGATGTGTCTGGGGGGGGAGACTGGGGGCAGGGTCTGCTCCCGGGACCTCCTTTGGAGGATCCTATCCCTGCCGCAGGGCCTGGGGTATGGGTTGGGGAGCCCTCGCCTGTGGTGAGAGAGCAACCCCTCCCTGGGCACTGTCCCCCTCTGGAGGGAATTCTGGAAGCCCAGGCCCGCTCCCTCCCTTTCCCCCTGCCCACAGTCTGGAGTGGTGGGAGAGGTAGCCGATAGGTTTCCTGGCCAGCACCGAGGTAGACTGGGGTGGTTCTTCAGGGCAGCAGGGGAGGGGCCGAGTCTCACTGGCACACCCCCAACCCATTCCCCTGGGCTATGCCACCCAGCCGTCACTGCGCCCTTTGGTCCTGCGGCTCTCCAGACCCCTCTTGTTTCCATGCCCTAAAGCCAGGCAGCGCTGGCAGCTGCTGTACCCTCTCTGCTCATGAAGGCTAGGGCCAGGTTCAGGCAGTTTGACTGGGTGACGGGGCTGAAGGGCTCACTCCAGCTGTCTCCTCCCACCTGGGGGGAGGGTCCCCTTTGAAGTCCAGAACCCCAGGCCTGAGCCTCCCTTCAAGAACCTGAGGCTATGGCCAGAGAAGTTCCCACGCTGCCCTCTGGTTCTCTGTATCCGTCTGTCCGGTCCTTTTAATTTCTCGTTCTTAGCAGCACCAACATTCTGGCCAATAAATATCCTTTTTTTTTTTTTTTTTTTTTTTTTTTTTTGTTATTTCCAAAACAAACTTAAAAAACAAGAAACAGTGAAGCAAGTGAGGGAGGGGGAACGAAGAGAAAAACCCAACAGACAGGTTCAAAGTGCTCTGAGCTTGTCTTTGGATGCCACCAGAACAGTCCAGAATCTTGCAGCTGGCCTGGCTGCCCAGGAGCGGGACCAGGCTGGGCTTCTGAGGACCAAGCTTTCTGGCAGGTTGGGAGGGTCATAAGAGAGCTTGGTGGTTCCTGGGAGGCCTCAGCGAGAGTTAGGCTGAGCGCTGCCTAGTTCCGTGTCTGCCAAGTGGGCGGGGCGGGGCCGCAGCTGGGCTCAGATCAGAGAGATTCGCACCGGGATGCCTGGGGACTCCGTCCTCTGCGGTGAGTGATGGCTCACCAGGTGCTCCACCACTGTGTGTTTGGACATGTGCTTCATCAGGTAGGTCTCCTGCGGGCGGAAGGGATAGGCAGACCGCGCGTCACAACAGAGGCTGCAGTTCCAAAAGCAGCCACGAGAGGGCGGCCCACCGTGACTACAGCCTTGGGGCTCAGTTGGGATGGGCTCTAGGGGTGCTACTGATACTGGGGTGGTTCTTTGCTTCGCTGGAGTCCAGTCCTACACAGTGCTGGCTGGAGGGGTGAGGCGAGGCTGACAGACAACTAGGCTCAGCCTCAATGGTTTCCACCCAAAACCCTGCACTCTCCAACCCTGTCTGCCATGCACATCCTAAAAATCCACATCTGTATCTGGTCCATGTTCTCGGTGGCCTTGAGGCAGGGGCCTGGCTGGAGTTGAGTTCTGCCATTTCCTAGCGTTAGGAAAAGTCTCTGTTTCCTACTCTGTAAGGGGGGCGGTGCCTAGAGCCCTCGGCATGCAGTGAGTTCCCCAGACTCAACATGTTATTCCAGTTGGAGGCAGGAGTCCTGGCCTCTAAACCTCCAGGTGACCGTCTCTGAGGGTAAAGCCACACCTCAGTCTTCCCCGTTCCCCGCTGGCTCTGCTAAGTCTACCCGGAGGCATCATGACTGGATGGGTGAGGTGACCTGGGCTGTCTGCGTGCCCACATCCTCCACTGGCCTTGGTCGGGAGCAAGGTCACATACCTTGTCCCTGGCCACCACCCAACATGGGCAGTAAGGCAGAGAGAGCCTACGAACCTGGAGAGGCGATACACAGGCCAGAGGAAGCAGTCAGCAGCAGCCAAGGCAGAGACGGCAAAGGAAAGGGCAGGGAGGCCGAGGCCTGAAAGACCCAGGTTGTGGTGATCTGAATAGGAACAGCCCCCACAAACTGTCTGAATGCTTGGCCCGCTTGGCCCGCAGGAAGTGGCACTATTGGAAGGCGTGGCCTTGTTGGAGGAAGTGTGTCACTATGGGATGGGCTTTGAGGTCTCCTATGCTCAAGCTGTACAGTACGGCACACAGTCTCCTTCTGCTGCCTGCGGGTCAAGATGCATTGGCTACTCCAGCACCATGTCTGCCTGCACACCGCCATGCTCCCCACCATGATGATGGACTAAACCTCTGAAGCGTAAGCCAGCACCAATGAAACATTTTCCTACATGAGGGTTGCCATGGTCACAGTGTCTTGGCACAGCAATGAAACCCTCACTAAGGCACAGGATAATATAGGAGCCATACTTGGGTCTTGATCTTAAAAAAAAAAAAAATCGTAAATAAAAATATGGCATTTAGGAGACAAGTGAATATATCCATGCTGTTCGAGTATTGGACAACAGGACTTTTGAAGAAGGGATTATAAAGGTATTATGGGTATGTTTTGGTCATGACCCTTAGAGACATAAAGGTTTCACAAGCAAAATAATAGGCTGTCTAGATTTTGCTTCAGAGAGCAGGGGCCAAGGAAAGTCAGTCACACGCCTGGTGAACAAGCATGAAGACCTAACCAAGACCGAAACCTTCAAACTTGGGAGCCAAAACAAACCCTTCATCTTCTAAAATCATCTGTCTCAGGTATTCTGTCACAGTGACAGAAAGTTGACGCGTGTGCCTTCCTCGGTAGGCCTTATTTCAACTGTCCCCAGCTTTATCTCCTTGGCCCCGCTGCGGTCTCTCAAAACAGTGGTTCTCAACGGGAAAAGGGCTGCCCCTGCAGTGGCCACCCACGGCACCTGGAGACATTTCTGGTGATTTCATCTTGGGGAGGAGAGATTGCTACCAGCACCAGTGGGTAGAAGCAGAGGCTGTTTAACGTCCTACCAGACATAAGGAAGTGTCCAGCCAGGGAGGGGCGTCCTGCTCAAGGTCGGTGGGGCTAGAACCGGGCAGTTCTGCTTTGACGAAGTAACTGCTGGCTGCCAGTAGAAGTTTACGTGTGTGGTTAGGTATTTTATCCCTATCTGATCAGTGTTTCCTGCTTCCTTAGTGCCTGGCTCAGTGGTCAGTGAACATCGAACAGTTCGCTGATCCATTGAAGTTTATCTGGTACTCCTTTCTCAGCCAGGAGCCCTGAAAGTAGCCACTTGATGAAGGAGGGGACTGATATCCTGAGCACTCCTGCTATGGTGGCCTGTCACCGGGACAATCAAAGGACTGGAGACCTGCATACAGCTGAGTCACCTGAGTCACCTGAGTCTACAAGACCTTCCTCTGGAGGATTTTCCCACCCAGGAACCGTCTCTGATGTCCTTTCCCTGAAGGATGGGTTGCTCTGGCTCCAGTACTGTGCCCCCTGGTGGCCCTAGCAGGGATGGCAGCTGCCCCAAGTAGGAAGGTGTCTCTGAATTCCTGGGCTGGGAAGAGCAGAATCCCAGGCCTCCAGCCCTGCCTTGAGGCTCTGGGACTTGGTGCCAGGCAGCAGGACTCACCGAGGTGTAGGCCCGCCCGCACATGCTGCAGCAGTAGGCCTTGGCGTGCTTGATGGCGTGGGCGGAGAGGTGGATCTGGAGGGAGGCGGAGTCTGAGTAGGCCCTGTAGCAGTTGGGACATTTGTAGGGCTTGTCCTTGTTGTGCTGGCGCTGGTGAGACTGTGGGGAGCACAGCAGGGGGCGGTGAGGCCCCAAACCTCCCCCCCCCCCCCGGCCCCCCCCCCCCCCTCTCAGGCCCCCCCCCCGGAAGTAGGGACACAGTGGGGTGTGTGCCGGGTGGATTCGCTCACCTGGAGGTTAGAGAGCTGAGTGAAAGCCTTTTCACAGCCAGGATGTGGGCACTTGTAGGGTCTGTCGCCTGTGTGGATTCTGCAAGAGCAAGCCCAGTGAGGGAAAAGTCCTGCCACATCCCCACTGCAACTGCAGCCCCCAGGCCCTCGCCTGGCCACAGCTAGACTCTGCTGCCAGGCACCCCTGTCCCCAACCCCACTCGCTTTCCCTCGTGGTTCAGTGCGGGCCCCAGCAGGAGCTAGGGCCTCCAAAGGTCGCCAGCATCCTTCCCTCGACTCCACTGCTGGTCGGAACAGACTTTTCAACTCCCTCAAATCCCGGTGACACCCTACAGTGTCTGTTTTCTTGGCTCCTTCCATGACGGCAAGACCTCTCTTGGTCTTTTGCACTGCTGCCTCCCCAGTTCCTGAGTAAGTTCTGCTCAGAACAGCCTCAGTGGACAGCTGGGGACAGCAGAAAGAAAGGGCTCCTCACAGATACACCAAACCCCTTGGCCAGCCTCCGTCCATCCAACTATGCCAACTGTCCACCCTCCTACCTGGCTCCAATTCTCCACTATGTGACTTGCAGGCGTCAAACCCAGGTCTTTAAGCTTGGCAGAAATCGTCTTTGCCAGCTGAGTCTTCACACCAGCCTCCTTTTTGTTTGGTTTCTTTAAGGAGGGTCTCACTCTAACCCAGGCTGACCTGAAACTCAAGGCATTCTTCCTGCTTCAGCCTCCTGCGTGCTGGGATTTCAGAGGTGAACCCCCACACTCAGCCAGCTTGCTTTTATTCTTAGGCATTCCCCACTACTGGCTGGCTTTAACCACTTGGTAGTTCACAATTAAAACAAGGGCAGATGCACTAAAATATTCACGGAGCAGGATCCTTCTCCTCGGCCTTTTCCACTCATATGCAAAAGCACACTCATACAAAGACCTCAAGGGCCCCTCCCATGTTGATGCGGTGAGTGTTGGGCACACGGGGGCCCTTTGAGTAGCTGTTCTTAATATTGTAATTATTGTCATCAGATTCGAGACCGCCAGATGCAGTTATCATCGGATCTGTACATCGCTTCACACAGCCAGGGAGCGGAAATCAAAGCCTAGTGCAGTTGGCACCCTGCATAAAAGCCAACACACACAGGTAGTGTCGCTGTGGCTGTGGCTGGCACTAGCCACAGATAGACACTGAGTGCTCTCCTGTGCTTTAGCGAACCCCTCCTGAAGCAGCTTCATCCCTGACCTTCACACCCTGGTGCCTGGGGTGCCTTCCTCACTGTATCTCTGTCACAACTGCGTAAGTCGCACACCCTGTGAATAGAGCACAGCAGAGCAGGTCCTGCTTGCACGGCTGACACACAAGCATGCGGTTCGTGTCATTATCCAGAAGTCTGAGCTTGTGGGATTGTTTGGGAGTCACCTGAGTTACACGTGCCTCCCTTTCAGACACAAGCTGTGTGTGAGCCACTAAATTCGACCATCCCAGCAGTGGTCTTGGGGACAGTTCCTGCAGCTCCCAGGGACAACCTGCCACACTCCCTTGCTAACTCTGCATCTTTGCGGGTGCCCAGCAAGGCATCTGCTTTGGACTAATCCTTTTATTCCCTTCATGACAGTAACATTGGGAAGGTAGGTTTGATCGATCTCTCAAAGGGCAGGAAGACGGGCCTCAGACTCTGCAGAATGGAACAGGGTTCATCCCCTGCTTCAGTGGTCGCTCAGGGTCCTGGGCCTTTGCGAAGCCCTCTCTTTGCCACTGGGTTAGGACATGGTAGCTTAATTGTATGTGCCAGTGCCCTGTGACTTATAATTATCTCCTAAATGTTGACAGACCCCTCTCACGTTGTTTTGTTTCCTGCCTATTACAAACTTGAATCACACAAATGAGGGAAGGAGAGAGAGAGAGAGAGAGAGAGAGAGAGAGAGAGAGAGAACAACTCAGAAATAGAAGCAATCCCCAGGGTCTGGGAACGTTCTGGCAAAACAGCCCTCTTCAAGGACCAGTTAAATTTTTTTGTTTTGTTTTCTTGCTCACATTCTTCCTTTATTTTTTTTTCCGTTTTGTGTGTTTATTTGTTTTCAACAGGATCTAACCCTGCAGCCCTAGCACAGCCTCAGAGTTTCAGCAATCATCCTGCCCAGCCTCCAGAGAGCTGGGATTACAAGTGTGAACCCTCCCACATTTATTGTTAGATAGGCTCAAAGACTACTTATGCAAAAAAAAAAAAAAAACAAAAAAAAAAAACAAACCCAAAACGAATTCTTAATCATTACTTTTTGCTACTGTACTATTCTCTTTATTAATTTTTAAAAATGATTTATTCTATTAAGAGTGTGTGCATGTGTGTGTCTATGTGTGTGTGTGTGTGTGTGTGCGCTAACAGGGGCTAGAGGAACTGGACAGTCCTGGAGATGGAGTCACACTCCAGTCTTCCAGAAAATTTGTGCGTGCTCTCACCCACCGGACCCCGACTGTGTCTGTTTGTATCTGATGCTGACTCTGAGCTAGGTGGCCTTTCTCAGAATAACAAACTTTACCAGTTTCTTCTACATGAAAACACTCCTCGAGTTTCTGGATAGTCGCTGGGCAACCCCAACTATTTGAAAGGAGGGTGCTCAGAAGGATGGGGTTCCCTGTTTTCAATTAGTCGGCTATAAAATTACTGACACCCCATGAACTCTGCAGCTCAAAGAAGAAGCTCAGTTTATTTCATACACATAGAAGTATCTAATACACACATGTGTTTTGTGCCCATTCTGCTTGTTGCTTTGAGTCGGGGTCCTATATAACCCAGACTTCAGACTCACTATGTAGCTGAGGCTGACCTTGAACTGCCGACTCTCTGGCCTCCAGCTCCCGAGTGCTGGGATTATAAGCACAACACCATACGTGGCTTAGACTTCAGAAAAGCTTTATTGCACTTATGCATTTATTTTGTGTATGTATATGTATGTGTGCGAGTATGCGTGCTCACACACCCTGTCCCATATGGAGGTCAGAAGACAAACTGCAGGAGTCAGTTCTCTCCTTCCAAATCGTGGGAGTTCCAGATCTATCTGACTGGAGTAACTCGGGTCACCAGGCTTGGCCGCAAGTGCCCTTACCCGCTGAGCCATGTCACTGGTCCACAGCATGTACTTTTTAAAGATGGACCAAATATGCTAATGTACACACGAGTTCCTTTAACCCAGGCACTCAGGGGGCAGAAGCAAGGGCATCTCCGTGAGTCTGAGGCAGCCTGCCCTACACAGCCAGTTCCAGACTGGCCAGGGCTACAGAGCGAGACCCTGTTTCAAACAAACAAAATGATATAGTTACACGTGTCTTCCAGGCCTGGGGTGATGGCTCAATGAATAAGGGTGTTTGCTGAGCAAGCATGAGAATCCTGAGCCTGAATCCCCAGCACCCACATGAATTCTGGATATGGCTGAACACACAGAACCCCAGTGTGGGAGGCAGGGACAGAGGCAGGAGGACCGCTGGGCTTGGCTGGAGCCAGCCTGAACTCCAAGCTCACTGACAGACCTGGCTGCTAGGGAGCGAGGCTGAAGGACAGGACAGGAGACAGCATCTTCCTCTGGCCTCCACACTTGGGCTCATGGGGTTGTGTACCCACGTGTGTGTGTGTGTACACACCAGATCCATACCACACCCACGCACGCATGCACACGTGGCTTAGTGGGAGATGCTTGCCTAGTATGCCCAAGGCCCTGGGTTTCATCTCCCTGAACACAGACACACAAAAATTCTTTCTAGATATGAGATACCTTTCTCGGCTGGCTATGTGAGATAAACTAAGTGCCCCTGCAGGAGAGCCACACTTCCTCTGTACACCATGTTCTCAGTACAAAGAGCAGCACGCGTGAGACTGAAAGCAGACTCCAAGCTCGCCTCTGACCTTTCGGCTTCTTACAGCGCGCTGGGCAGAGCCACGCAGCCCTGTCAACAGGTCTCTGGGCTTCTCACATTTGCCTCAGGGCTTCGGCTCTGAGCAGCAGCTCAGAAACTTCCTGAGTCTTCCTGATGATCATAAAGAGAATGGAGCCCGGGAGAGGCCCTGAACAGACCTCCTTGTGTTTTGGAGCCCCGGCTTCGAAAGTATACCATCCTGAGACCAGACGCTGCCTGAGTCTAGGCAAGAGCAGCCCAGCCCAGTGGACTGACAGACTCAGGGTCAGAGGACAGGGATTACCACCAAGGGGAATGAAGCTAATTTCATCGTGGCTGATCTCTCTCTCTCTCTCTCTCTCTCTCTCTCTCTCTCTCTCTTTTTAAGAACCCAAGAGAACCACCTTCCACCTGGTCTGTCTCAGAACCTTCATTTAGAAAGCTAGAGCTAACAAAAATAGAATAAAACGGTCTCCAAACAGATGTCCTGCTTCATTTAACCCTCCAGATCCATAGGGGGAGAGGGGCCACAGAAACTGCACATCCTTCTATACCAGTAAACCACCAAGGAAACTTTAAAGTCAGACCGCTCTCAAAACAACACATGTGATTGACCTTGTCTACAAAACCACAGAGCACGATTGTAGCTCCCCTCTGCTTGGGTGAGGCACCGCTCTGCTTGGGTGAGGCTCCCTCCCTCCTTTTCGCCATCATTAGTTCTGTGAGTAGGCTCAAAAGGAATCCACTCTCCTTCTTAACAGAATATAATTGTCTAAATCAAATTTGTAACCGTGACCATGCCAGAAATGTCACATTTAAACACAAATCTCATTTAATTAGGCATGGCAAGCCTGATAGGACAGAGCCTCGTGTGAGAATGAGGCTGCCATGGTAAAAGGCTGGACCTGTTCCACAGCTTATGGAATCTAAGTCTCCTCTTCCTCCTCCTCCTCCTCCTCCTCTTCTTCTTCTAACGTTTCCATCTTTGAGACAGGATCTCATGTAGCCCAGGCTGGCCTTGAACTTACTATGTAACTGAAGCTAGGCCTGAACTTCTGATCCTCCTGCCTCTGCTACCTGGGGGCGATTGGCCCTTCATGCAGACAAATAAAACAAAACAACAAGAAAATAGCCCAGGAGCCTTGACACACTGAGCCTTAGTCTCCAAAAAGGAGTAACCCTGCTGTCACCCAATCCGGACGAGGCGAAATCAGTTAATTCTTATTTCACCGATCTCTAATAATATAAGAAAAAATTCACATACACACAATGTTTAAAATTCTGGCCCAGGGGCTAGGCAGTCTCCTGGCAGCATTTTGTATCATATGCTATAATTCCACAAACCGCGGCAGCTAACGGCAGGTCTTTGCGTCTTCATCAATGCCGTGTGTCATTTATCTATGCACATGAGACCAGCCAAGTTTTTAAAAATCAAGGCATGACAACCTCAGACAATTGCTGAAACACACGCAAACAGTCCTCTCTGTGCTTGGGGAGACACAGAAATGGAAAATCGGGCTGACAGCTTTCCTTGGGCCACGCTGTCGTTCGTTCTGGCTACTGAGCCTCACATGATACCCCGCACCAGAGAGACAGGCAAAGCGAAACATCTGCACCCTGGGATAAAGGACACAGAGATCACAGTGACAGATAAACAAGAACAACGTCACCTGCCCCAGAGCACACATTATAATCCTCGCTACTAGGGAGGCAGATGGGGAAGATGGCAAAGTTCAACGTTAAAGAACAAGTCTTTGTTTCGAAGGAAAAGAGGAAATTGTTAGAAGGTTGGGATGGAGTTCCACGGTAGCCAACTTGCTTAGCACACACAGGGCTCTAGGTTTAATCCCTGGTACCAAAAAATCACCATGACAAAAATTTGCCAGGGCTGGGGACATGGCTCAGTGGTAGAACTCTTGTCTAGCACACAGGAGAGCATAGGTTTGACTCCCACCACCACAGGACAAGCAATTTTTAAAGTAACACTAACAATAAAAGACTATTTCTTGGCCCAGACTGGTGGTGCACACCTTTAATCCCAGCACTTGGGAGATAGAGGCGAGAGGATCTCTGTGAGTTCGAGGCCAGCCCGGTCTATTTAAGCAAGTCCAGGACAGTTAGGGCTCTGTTACACAGAGACACCCTGTCTCAAAACACCAATCAATCAATCAATCAATCAATCAATCAATCAATCAATCCATCAATCAATCAATCGTAAAGATACAGTCTCCTACACAGCTCCATTACAAGAGTGAAAACCTCAGCTGTCAGTCATTACAGAAGCCACAATCAGACAGTCCTTTCACTGACTTCGGCCCTGTCGACACTGGCGAACACCCGACCTACTTTCAGACAAAAGAGTCATGTGAGCAAGCTACACCTCTTCGATCAGAATACATGGAACACTCTGGGTACAATCTTCTGACCCTCTTTTTCTTTTAAACTCTGGTTCGCTGTATCTAGTGAGCTTTCTTCCCAGCATCTCTTCTCTCCCTTGCACACACTTGTATTTCCTTAAATCTCCTTTGACTCACTCAGCTAGACTGAGTATATTCACCACCGGGCAGAGAATTTTTTTTCTGGTTTGTTCCTAGAATTCTGGCTGGCGTGGCATAGGCGCTCGGTGAATGCCTGTTAAACGGATGAATCATGTTCTCTGTTCAAACTCGGTCTATCTATTCCGCAAATACTTAACAAATGCCTTAACACTCCTATGTGCTGCCTCCCACGGGGATAGAGGGATGCGGGACACCAAGGCTTTGCTTTCTACAGCTCCCAAAATACGGAGGGAAGCAGAAAACCACACCGAACCAGCCTAGATGGAAGAAGTGGGCCCCAGGGGTGCAGGACAGGTGGCCAGGATGTCTCAGGTAAAGGCTACCATTCAGTGCAAAGGCCTGGAGATGAGAAGCAATCAGAGCGGAGCTCCGTGAAGCTGACGGGCTTCGCCCAGCATGGCCCAAAAGGCTCAGCAGAGGAAATCCGGTTCTTGACCCCCAAGGGTAACAGGCATCTGAGTGAAGGCTTCTGGGAGGGAATCGCCTACCTGGTGTGTTGCTGGAGGTGGGAGAGCTGTCGGAAAGACTTGTCACAGTAGGAGCAATGGTAGGGCTTGACGCCCAGGTGGATTCGCAGGTGCTGGGCCAGGTAGGAGGCGTTGGCGAAGGACTTGGAGCAGTGCGGGCACTTGTGGGGCTTGGCCTCGGTGTGCGACTTGGAGTGGATTTGCATCTCGGACTTGGTGAAGAAGGTGAGCGGGCACACCTTACACCTGCAGGCGAGAGGCAGCGTCACACCCGGGGAGACTCCCCCCTACTCCGCTCCGGCAACACCTTCTCTGGAGGCCAGAGGACATGGGCAAGTTCCAGTGCAGGCCCCTCCTGGTCTGGAGGGACTCTGACATCTGGGAACATCTGTAGCTATCTGAGGGCACGAGGCTACACAGCCAGGGGGAAAGCAGGAAAGGCCTTGCCTACGGATCACCTGTGGTCCGGGGGGAGGAGGTGCTGACAGTCTTAAGTCATTCTGACCTGGCTGTGCGTTAGGATCTTCTGGAACCTTTTCACAAGTACAGGTAGGTGCCAAGCTCCCCGCCTCCACCCAACTGGCCCAGAACTTCTGGAGGCTCCAGCCCTGGCAGTAGCGTGTTGTAAATGCACGTCACAGGTTTAACAGGGCCCAGACAACCCTCATGGGACATGAGGACCAGGACTCTTAGCACCCCACGATGCTGCCTGCCCTGGCCCACCTCTGATGGAGCTGAGCTCTGTTCCTCTCCTTTCCTTCTCCCTGTGGCCTGATACACTGGTAAGACTCTACCCCACTCTTTGAATCTCAGCTCCCCACTCCTAGCCCTGGGTCCCACTTTCCAGCTCCAGGCATAGACACCACCACAACCTCACCCAGACCCCACACGAAGAGACCCTCACCTGTATGTCTTGCCCTCCTTTGCGGTCTCACCGGAGGCCAGGATGGGGTAGGGGACAACAAGGACAGGGGGACCCCCTGGGTTCTCTGCCTTGATCTTTTTGCGGCCTCGTTCGGACTTGGGAGGGCCAAGCAGGCCGTGGCCCTGGATTGTCTTGATGGAGTCCAGGAGGGGGGGGCTGGTGATCCCTGAGATGAGGGTGGGGGACGAGGCGATGAGGCGGCTCTGGCTGGTGGTGGTGGGTGTGGACGGGGTACTGGTGCCCGTGCCAGCGCCTGGAGTTGACTCCGATGTACTCACAGCGGGGGTCCGAGAGGAAAGCCCTAGACCTAGGAAGACACACATGGGGGCGGGGATAAGGGCAACTTAGCACAGACCACCCAGCTCTGTGACTGACAGGTAAAGTAATAGTCAGGGGTGACTAAACGAGAGTTTGCACATACTACTAAGATGCCTTAGATAAGTTGAAGACTGAGCTGTTAGATTAAAAACTGAGTTTAGGGGCTGGGGTTATAGCTCACTGGTAGACGGTGCTGGCAGGGCACAAGGCCGAGAGCTTGTACGAGAGCACTACAGAAACCAAGAAGCATTTTGGAAATAATTCCACCCACAGAAAAAGTCCCAGGCACACAGACATTCACCGCCATGTTATTTATAATAGCAAAATTTTTAGAGACAACTGAGTTATGCAAATTGGGGAATGGCTGAGTCTTTTCTTCGGAAGTTCTCTTTGTTTCAAAAGGCTGTGGATGCGGGCACAGGAAAAATAAACAGACGGTGTGCCCAAAGGTGATGTGGGGGGCAGGGCAGGTTCTAAAAGTAATGGTTTGACTGTTTTCTGGTTCAGTGACGATGAAGTTTAAAAGAGAAAACCCTCCCAAATCCTGTAATGTCAGCTTTTATTCATTTACCTTATTTTATCTTATTTTTTGCTTCTTGAGAGAGGGTCTTGTGTAGCCCAGGCTGGCCTGGCCTTGAAGTCCTAAACCCCTTGTCTCCACCCCCCACATGAACCATTGTGCCTAGAAAAATTGTTCTTTTTAAAAATGAAGGCAGGGAGATGTGCCGTAGCCACCTATAACACACGCACGTGGGAGCCTGAGACAGAGGGCCAGACCTGCCTAGATAACACAATGAGACCCATCAGGAAGGAAGGGAGGGGCTAGGAACATTTATAATAGCATTTAATCACACTAAATACTACTACAGTAGATAAACTATGATGCTAGCATTTATCACCTGGCTCCATTTATTTATATCTACCTCTCTACATTTTTAAATCAGCTAAAAATCTGTGCATTAAGGAAAAAAGACAATGGTATGAGGGTGGGTGGTTTGTGCCACCCTGGGAGCAGAGATGCCCACCTGTGCAGCCTCCGCTGAGGACAGTTTGGCAACAGCTATTAAAAGTTTAAATGCTCAGAACTTTTAGCCAGGCAACTGACTCTGCTTCAAGAGAGCACCGTAAAGAAGCAATCACTCATACGCGAAAAGATCTCCAGGCAGGGGCTTTCCACACAAAACTGCGATTCCACAGTGATATAAAGTGCTTATCCTCAACACAAGCTGTGGACACAGACATGGGGCGTGTTGCCACCAAAACAGGAGAGCTAGAGTGCAAGGAACACAAAGAAATGCCAAACTGTGCAAGCCCACAAGGCCCATCTTCCCCAGAAAGCTCAGACACGAGTGTGCCAGCACGGAGTCAGGCCCTAGCCACTTCAGCAGGCTAACACAGCTCTCTTTTATGACAGAGGGGAAATTTTCGGTCATGGGGGATTTTCATACTTTGCCAGTCTGCTTCAAAATTATTTGAATCTTTTACTTGGTGAATTCACTCATTTTTTTTTTAAAACATCTAAGATCAAAGGGTAAAATAAAATAGATTACAGAGAAAACATACATAAAAATACTAACAAAAGCAGAACTATGGGTAATTTTTTTCTCCCTTTGAGTTCTCTGAAATTTCTAAAATTTTCAATAATGACTATGTTATTAGCTTTACAATAAACATGCAATAAAGATGTCTGGGATGGAGTGGCAAACAGGCACAGTGGCGGGGGCAGTAGGGGTAGGATAGGGAACTGAAAAGGACAAAAACAATTTAAACCATGGAATGGACACAGCCCTGCCACAAACACAGCAAACACATGCATATTAAAGAACAAACAAAAATATGGAAAAGGAAAAAATGCACTAAAAGAGTCTCTAAGATTTTGGGTTGGGGGGGGAAGATTCTGGGTTAGGCATCGGGGATTATGAGTAATTTTTTTTCTTAGTTCCTCCTTGTCCCAAATTTCCCTTAATATGCTTATATTGCTTTTTTAATATTACTTTTGCAATGAAAAATAAATTTAATAAAATCATAATAACGGAAGATGTGCAGAGTACAGCCTGGGGAGGCGCACAAGGCCCACAGTTTTGGGGCGTCTCTAAGAGCAGGGGGAGAAAGGCACCTGGCTGGTGGCAGAGGTGGGCCACTGAGGGGGTGGTCCCAGCCGTGGTGGGGAACACAACGCCTTCTGCCCTGCTTTTTTCATCTGCTGAATGGAGAAAGCAGTCTGGACCGCATGGAGATGCTGGTTTTGTACTACAAACTGCCCTTCAACCCGGCGCTTGTTCGGCCCATCACCAGGCGGCTGAGAACTAGGGCTGTTCCGAAGCCCTAATTCGGAACTGCAGTGTATGCCACAGCAGCCTCCCCTGGTCCTCCCCCACCAAACAACCCGGCCTCGGGCCTTCTACATGCTGCTCCCTCTGGAAGGGTCATCCATCCTCCCGCTTCACCACTCTAGTCTGCCATAAGCCTTTCCTTTTCTTCTCCACGGAAATCGGCTCTTTTCTCCTACATCAGACTTCCTGGGTGTTCCGAGTCCTTTGCAGATCTCGTTTTCCTAGTTAGCATCCAGCTGACGGAAGAAATTCTCATAATTCAAGGTCAGAGGAAGCCTGTGGGTTATGGCCAGTACCACTGGCCTCTCTGCCAAGCCTCCCCTACAACCTCTGGCCCTGCTCACCCTATTCTCACCTAGTGAAGTCCTACCTGGGCCAGATCCTGCCCCAACCTTCTTAGCGGACCTTGCCGGTCCGGCCCACTCCACAGACCCACACACATCCTCCCTCCCACCTCCAGCCCACTCAGCCCTACCTGTGACAGTGCTAGTGGCCGGCCTCGCGTGAAGCGCCACGTCGGGCTGAGGCACAGACTGCGGGTGCAGCCCCGGCACCTGCTGCAGCTTGGGCAGCGACATGACCGCCTGGCTGCTCTCAGCGGGCGCGGGGGGCACTAGCAGTGGCTGCTGGGACGAGGCTGAGGTGGGTGGCAGGTGAGGCGGCCGGATCTTCTCGGCCATCAGCTGCTCTTTGATTTTGTTAATCAGGACCAGGTTGTCCAGCTGCGGGAGGAAGAGGAGCCAGGTTGGCATGGTGGGCCACACCCCAGGGCCCTCTCCCCTGCAAGCTGCAGCCGGAACCCTGGGTAAAGCCTAGCAGCGCCAACTCGGAAGGCAGTGGGAACAGCCCCTCTCAGTCTTACCTGGCTGGGCATGGTGGGAGGAGGGGGCCAGAAGTAAGGGTTGTTAAATCGAGGTTCGGCCATCCTGCAGGAAGGGAGAGTGGCTGTCACTATCAGCTATGAGATCTCTTTACCCCCTTGGGACTCAAAATTCCTCAGCCAAGTGGACCTCCCACCAGGCCCAGAGACCCACATTCCTGGGCTAAAAACTCAGGAATTCAGTGTCTCCCTGGGTGGATCTCAAGGGGCAAAGGTCACAGTTGGACCAGAGTGCTCCCAGTCCAGGCCCCCCCCCCCCCCCCACGCTGCCAGACCAGTTTCCATCTCCCAGGTTTCAGAGCCAACCCAGCCGGATTGAACATAGACCTTCCCAGTCCCCTTCCCCCCCGCCGTCCTCCAACCTGGAGAGCCCTGGGAACACCTTTGCCACAAAGCAAAGGTGAGATCCTTGCCCTTCTGCCTCCTCCCCGAGGGAGGCCATCCTCCACAGGATTCAAGAGATGGGGCCTTTGTGAAGGGGAGGTTGGTAGAACAATTTACACAGCCCCAAATAAGCAATCCCTTCAAACTCAAAAATTACACTCTGGAGAGTTCAGGCACGGGCAGGTGGAACTGTAACGTCCGACCTGCAAAGAGGGGGTGTCAGCCGGGGCTGGGGGTGAGGTGGGGAGGTTGGGTTTTTCTGTGATTCTAGTAAGTCAAGAAGTGACTCACAGGGACTGGGTGCTCATGGGTACTTCATGATTCTGACTGAGTGGTCTTGAAGAAACCCCTTCCCTACCTGGTACAGCAGCCTTAGACCAAAAGGAAATTCCTACAACCCCTTTTTCCTGCTGCAGTGAGCCTGGGAAGTCCCTACTGGAATGGAGGCAGGGTTTGGGGGCCAAGGCCCGCCTCACGAACCCAATCTAATCTGAATATATTCAGGAAGAGCTTTTATCTGGATCACCTTTTGTGTTCTTTACTTGGTAGGTAAAGGCCCAAAAGGCTTCCCTGTCTCTTCTCAGAGGTGAAAACAACTGGGGCTTGAAGACCCAAGCAACACCTCTAGGGTGCTAGATGGTAAGCCTGGAAATCAGATTACTCAAACAGCTTCTCCCGCCTGTTCGCTTTGTAAATTCTCGTCCTCTGTAGAACAAAAGCCAGCTCACTGGGAAGCCAGCAGCTGCTGTACCCTGTTCTCCTCCTCACTCCCAGCCTGTAGTGGTCTCAGCCCCTAGGTGAGAGCAGATGACTGGGGAGGCCGGTAACCAGGACAAATCCTACCCCGGTCAGCCTCCTGTCCCCACAGGCACAGACCCTTCCCTCTGCCCGTCAAACCCCACGCTGGCCTCTTAAAGACAGAAAAAGCATGTTCTGCCTACCCATCTCCCTGACTGCCCCAGGCCTTTAGGATTTCTTTCCAAGAAAAAAACCTCCAAGCAAAACTACCAGGGAGGGGGCTGCGGGTTACAAGTATGCCTTGTACCAGGCACACTGACCCTGAGAACAGGAACTCTCACCGTGCCCACTTTAAAAAGCGAGGAAACAAAGCTCAGAGAGGTAGAGTGACTGGCTCAAAATCACACAGCAAGTGAGCATACTGCTGAGACTCCACCCTCCTCAGCCTGACCGAGTCCACTGCACTGGCCCCTGAACTGTTCAGGGAGAGGATGGCTGTAGGCTCATGGGTGTGTCCTGCCTCAGAGTGACACGGTTGTGACCCCATGAGTGGACAAGGCAGAGGTGGGGGGAGGTGGGAAGCTAACTAAGGTAGTTTGGGAATGGGTCCACCTGTCCTGTTCATCCTGGTATCCCTGGCCTCTAGGCCCAGAGGCCATCGGTGTGAGCTGAAGGAAGGACTGGACAGAGAATAAAATTCTGAATTCTCTGAGAGGCGAGCCCTCCCTCTGTAGAGGGCTCTTCAGAAGCCCAGGGGGATGACAAGCGGGGAAGGCTTCCTGTCCCCCTTTCCTAGAGGAGCTCATCAGTCACTGGAAAGGAGACCTGCTCCAGGCTGCAAGGCGGGCCAGCAGGCTCGGATGCCGCCCCCTATCAGATGGGGTGAGACAGGCTGCCCTGTTCCCGGGACTCCGCCCACTGCACTAGGCTGCTTCCAAGCAGTTCTGGGAAGTTACCTTCCTTTCCCTCTAGGGAGCTGAGAGCTTCCCCGGGGTCCTCTTGCTGGAATCAAACAGACTCTAGTGTTTATCAAGCCTCTGAGTAGCCAGGATGGCCTTGCTAAGGCTACACAGCCAGGCCTTGCCAGGGGAGGCCTTGCCAGGGCACCATCTGTGCTCCACACAGCCGTCTCCTGTCCTTTCTCTACCCCTCCCCAGCTATGAGTCCGTCGATGACCCTGGCGCTGGTCTCCACCTACTGTGTGCCAGGTGCAGGGGGCAGGACAGGGCCTGAGTGTCTACTGGGCTCTCACCATTGCCTGGCACTTCCAGGCAGTCTGGCCTGTGGGTAAGCCCTGCCCTGGGGAAGCGTGTGATGCACGAGAGAGGCCAGGACAGGTGCTCACTGAGGACAGACAGAGGAGGATGAGGGTGCAGTGATAGGGGGACAAACACCCTCCCAGTGCCACAGTGGCATGGGACACCAAGGCCAGCTCTAGGGCCTTGAATGCCAAGATGAGATAAGGGATGAGATACCAGTGGTAGGAAAGCAACAAAGAGCATGCTGGGTTAAGGGAGCGAGCAATGTGGCAGAGGGGACACTGGGGCAGGGGGTGGTAATGCTGGCATAGAGGCAGGAGCCAAGCCTTCTGGGGCCGAGTGTCCATGCCGAGTGGGCACAGGAGACACCTGCTGCTCAGGTGGGGCCTTCAGCACTGTGCAGAAGCCAGGACTGGGAGCAGGGAGCCATACACCTTGACCCTGATCCTTGTAGCCTACCCAACTGTCATTTGCTTTTCTTGTTCTACAAGGTAAAGAAAGTTGAACTGTTCTATACACCACCAGACCAGTCCCCTCAGAGCCACCTCGGCCTGTGAGGGGTTCCTGTATCTGGGGCTTCTTCCTTGCCTTTTTGATCTCTCTCACAACTTCCTCTCCACAGTGGGCTTCTCGGAATGAGCCAGGACCCCCCCCCAATTCCATCGCAGCTCAGCACAAGCGGCCTATCTACTTGGGAGCTGTAAGTACCACAGGTCTGAGCCTCCACCTGGAGTTTTAGGCTCAGCACCACGCTTGTTCTCAGGCTGTCTCTCAGAAGCTGCCCTCTATCAGTTGGCCTGACTTTCTCCGGGCAAGGCCCACCTCCAGTCACCCACCTCTCAGCAGGTCATAGGCGCACAGTGATCCTCCTGACTCAGACCAGCCACAGCTGAGATGGGCGGAGAAGCCATTTCCAGACACTCTCCGACCCACCCATGCCTCCCTGGAAGTCCTGGACGTGAACGCTTCCCTCCCACCAGGGAAAAGGCAGGCTCTGGTTAAAATCCCGATTCCACCTCACTGAATGTGTGACCTTGGGCAAGTCACTGGCCCAGCTTCTAAGTAAGGGAGAAGCTGCCTAGAGGCTGGCCTACCCTGCAGAGATGAGCCAGGGGAGGATTCAGGGGGAGATGAAGCCTGCCTTGACACCCAGAGAGTGAGCCTAAATCAGCCAGCAGGTGGGGTAGGCATTCTGGTAAAGGTGACAGTGTCAGCAAAAGCCTGTAGGCAAGGGCTGTGCAGCCTCCCAGAGAGACTGGCAAGCAGATGAGCCTGGACAGTCAGCCAGGGCCTGGCTCTTAGGCCCAGAGCCCAGATATTTGCCATCGGTAGGTAAAGGGTGAAATATGAACTTTTAAAGACCCTTATAACTGCCAGATATATCGTATTCTAGAGAGGCCAGAGTGGGTGCCAGGGGCATTCCCAATTAGAGGTGTGAGGGTAGGGCTGTACCCAGGCCCAGGAGGGGAATGACCTGGCTACTAGGGGGGAGCTGGTAGCCAGGCAAGTGTACGGGCTGTCCCCACAGTGTGGCCCAGATCTCTGGACACTGACGGAGACAAACACAGAGTCAACACAACATGCAGACAGCACCAAACCCAGACAGCGGACAGACACAGACCTGTGGCCACAAGCATGGACCCATGGGGGTGGGAAGCCAAAGCCGCCAACACTAAGAGGGCAAGCACACTCCCCCCATGGCCTCCCCCAGGGTAGCAGTGAGGGGCACTGGGTTTCTCTTATGGACACAATGCCCTGCTCCCCAGAGAACAAACCCCTCATTGACAGACCCGCAGCCTGGACTCACAGGTTCCTTACCTAGAAGGTCCTTTCCCACTTGGTGAACTTCTACTCATCCTTCAAGACCCAGCTCAAGTGTTCCCTCTTCTACGGAGCCTTCCCTGAACCCCCAGTCAGTGACTTCCTCTGTGTTCCCAACAGCACCTTGTACATGGGAATAACAATAACAATAACAATAAAATGACAGCCACCGTTGACGTAAACACCTGTGTGCTGAGCATATTCCCATTCGAGTTAATTGACTCTTCCCAGTGACTCTCAAAGATGTCAGTCAACTTGCCCGGTCACACAGCACGTGAGGGAGGGGGTGGGGATGCCGTCCAGCCCTGGCCCAGCCCTACAGGGTCACATGCACTCTGGTGTGGTTCTTCCTCAGTGGCTAGGAGAATCTGTCAGCTCTTGCCGGGTAGGATGTGACCCGAGGCGGCCACCTACAATGGGCCGGGGACTGTGGCAGGATTTTACTCACTACAGCAATAGACCCATGGTACAGATGAAGAAACTGAGGTCCAGAGAGGCTAGGCAGCCTGGCTGAAGGCTACGGAGCTCGGCACAGATTTCAAAGCGGCTCACCCCGTCACCCTTTCCCAGAAAGCCTCTGAGGCCAGTCTAACCAACCCCACAAGAAATAACTGAGGGAAGGGCACACTAGGTGCCAGGCTCGGCCGCAGGGGGAAAGCACAGACTCAGACCAGGGCACACAGAGGACACACAGCCGTTGGCGGGACGTAGGGAGCTGGAGGCCCTGCTGCCTGGGTGGAGGAAGTGGATGTTGTCATTTCAACAATTTAGGCCCCGCCCCCAAAGCAACAGACATTAAAACTGAGACCTGCCCAGTTCCACAGGGGAAACAGGCTTCCAACAAAGCAAACGGGAGTGGGGGTGGGGCTGGTGGGTAGCGATGGGGAAGTGGGAGGAGCAAGACCCAGACAGCGGGGACTCTGATTGTACGGAGGCTGCAGGGAACCACGCCCACAGGGGCCCGGCTCCCAGGGGGAGGTGCTAACCTCAGCGGCAAGGGGATTTGTCTTTGTTTCTCTGATTTCTAAATTCCCAGTCATGGCATTCCGTTTCTTTTAAAATGAAGACAATACATTTATTATTTAAAAAAAAAAAAAAATGAAAGAGAGTGCTTGGGAGCCTAAGGGGGCTTGGCTAGAGGCTCATGGGAAACTCAGTTCAGCTGCTGGGGGCACTCCCCGAACCACCACACATCAGGCCTTTCACAGCCCCATCCTAAGACTAAGCTGGGAGGACTGTCAGGAGGGCTTCCTGCAAGAGGCCACACATTCTGCACTTTGACCCTGATCGGGATCCCACAAGTTGGGGCAGGGCACAAAGTAGGTCTCTGCCCCTCACATGGTACCCTTTAGATCCACCTCAGCTATTGCAAGAACCCTCCCTTCCGCAGGTTCTCCAACTCCATCCACATCCTCCCCTAAACTCCACTGCAGCCACTGCACCGTGTCCTACCTAGAAACTTCCACGACTTCCTGCAGCAGTCGCGCAGACTTACGTCACCAGCTTTTGCTGTCCTCTGGCCTCATTGCTTATCCCACTGTACATCGGCCAACCACGTGGACAGTTCCTCTCCCAGCAGTGTCCACTTCCCTTCTTGCTTCCTCCCCTTCAAGGACGCCAGGGCCACGCACTGATTAATTTCAACCGGTGGGTCCCAAAACACAGGTTCTTCTCCCTACATACGGAGTCTGTAACCCCACGAGGGCTCTGTACCCTGTGCGCCCACATGTCCTTCATCAGGGTGCTTCCCAGACCTGTGTTTTCTTAGCCATCTGTAGACATGGTGCCTCACCAGAAAGGACCAGAGACCTATTAACTAGAAGCATTTTGTGTTTGAATGAGTGAAAAAAGATGGACAGATGGATGGATGGATGGATGGATGGATGGATGGATGGATGGACGGACGGACGGACGGACGGACGGACGGGCGGCAGTGTGCATGCATGGTTAGGTGGAGGGAACTGAAAACATTACAGCCTGGACAAAAGAAAGTGCCCTTCCCTCCTCTGGGTGCCCGATGCATTACGCTCGGTCCTGATGCTCAGACCTACCCAATCTCATCCCGACTGGCATGAGGAGAGGGTGTTGACCCTGAGAGATGCGAACACAGCTAGTGAACACAGCCGATGTTTCTACCTCGCCAGCCGGAGAAGTCAATGAGCTTTACCTGCCAAAGGACCACAGACAACTATGAAAATGGTAGCACCCAATACTGGTGAGGGCGAAATGAGGTTGATGGGCCTGTCAGCTTGTCAGTGGGGGGTGTGAACTGGACCGGGCATTCCTAGAAAGAACCGGCCCATAATGTGTCAAGAGCTCTAAAACTATTCACACCCCCTGGCCTAGCGAGCCCAGTCTGGCTCATCCGACCCTAGAAAACAACGCAAGGTTCCATGTACAGCGCTGTGTGCCCATGGGTTTTTATGGAACAGTCAAACTTGCAAGCAACAGGGAGATGGCTCTGGAACTACTCTCTCTGAGTGTCCACAGCACCACTGTTGTGACCCATCAGCATGCACTGAGCCTATGACCCAGGAGCACAGAGGAACTTAGGGAGCTGCCCCAAACCAAGCAGGGAATGTGGGGCTCTGATCCAGACTTTGGGGGATCTGGAGCCCAGGCTACCACACTTGTTAAAAAGCCTGGCTAATTAATAACACTGCAGGGGCAATTAGAAGATACTCAGGAGACAGTAGTCAGGAGGACAATGAAAGATAAAAATGACACTCAAGGCTGGGTGCCGGGAGAGGACCCGAATGCTAACAGTGGGGGTGTCTGGGGCTTGGAACAGGGCAGAGATAGGGCTGGGGGCTGGTTACTTCCTATCCTTCTTTTATGATCTTTCTACAGTGTGGCTATCTGGTTGGTTTGAGGAATGTTCAGAAAGCAAGACATCCTTTCCTCCTATCCAAAGAGCTAAACTCTCCAAATTTCTCCAAAAGAAAAGCTAAGGGACCTGCTCCAAGCCCCAGCACCCCCCATGCCCACAGGTGGGAGGGCAGTTAGGAAGGAAAGACGGGCCAAGGGATAGCCTAGCTGGCCTGCCCCTCATTCTTCCACAGAAAGCCCTGCATAGGCCCCACTGTTTGGGGAAGTCCTAACACCACCGCTGCTCAGCCAAGGCCTCTACGAGGCCGTTGGCCACATTCATCCCTACCATCCAACCACTGCACCTACAGTGCCTGCAGCCCCCACCCCAAACAAGTTGCCTGTGCCACCATCTGAGGGTTCAAGAGCTAGAACCCGGACACCAAATCTCAGCTGAGGTCACACTGCTGTGGGTAGATGGCCTGGTCATCTCTCCCAGTTCCCCGAGAGGACAGCTCACTTGAGGGTTCATGATTCCATTCCTCGATCCTCAGTCAAGCCTCATGGCTCAACTGACAGGTCTCATGTTCAAGGCCTTTTTTTTTTCCTGATCTTTCCCCTACCTAGCAGGAACTGGGTTACTCATTTCCAGCTCCTAAGGCCCCTTGTACTTGCTACCTTTCCTTTCTTGTACTCAAAATACACTGGTCGCCCCAGCAGCCAAGAAGGATACCCAAGTTTAGGGTCATGGCAAAGCTATGCACCCACCAAACTGGAGCTGGGCAGGGCGCAGTCCACATTAGTGCTCCATTAGGCCTGGAGGGACTCAACGAGGCTGGTTTCTGCATGTCAGAAGAGCAGAAGGGTGCAGGGGCATTCCCAGTACAGAGAGTGAACACTGTTAACGCCCTCAGGAAAGCAGAACTGCACAGGCCAGGAAGCAGGAGAGCCTGGGCAGCATATTTGTCTGGAGTAGGTAGAGTGCAGGCAAGGTGCGAGCTGGTGGCCAGAGGGGTTCGTTTGTGCCAAGGGGGAGGGCGGCCCTAAGCAATCCAGGGCAAGGCTTCCAGCAGACAAGTCCTTATGTGGCCAGGTGATGACTGCCTTCTACCTGGCTCTCTGAGACCCACCCACCCATGCTCAAAGTCCACCTCACACAGCCCCTCTGGCTTCCACATCCTCCATTCCACGAAGCACAAAGCCCTCGCTGCTGCCCAGACCCTACCCCTAAAACTCCAGCCAGGCCAGGCCAGCCTCAGAAACCGCTGTGAGGACAAAGGCTGAGGACCCTGGATCCGATGAGGGCATATTTTCCATGCCCACAGGCCTGGGAAGGACTGTTTGCACTATGATGGCAGAGTAAAGTGACCCTGGCAGAGGGCTGATGTCTGTGCCCAGGGCCCTCCCTGATTTCCCACTCCCCCACCCCTTTACCCAAGCCCACCTCCAGATACCCAGAGGTGGTCAGGACAATGAGCCTTGTCTAAGCTGAGACCCTACTATCCTACTGACTCAGACCAGGAGCCTTTCTCTATTGCCAGCTCTCCCAAGGATGCCAGGTGGGTAAGGGTGATGGTCCCCAATACTTTCTCCACCCGAGTCCCTTTAGACACTTTCCAGGCGTTTCTCACTCGAAATCTTCCCAACCCCACAAGAAGGACACTGTGACCATTTTGAAATGTGGCACACTCCCAGAAAGATGCCTAGAACATGCCTGAGCAGAATGTTGGTGTCACAAAGACTATATTGCAGGACTCCTGAGGGACCCTTACCCTCCACTACAGTTCTGCCCTGACCCTGCCCTCCTGGTTATCAGGGTGCTCTTTGATTTGCGGTTGGGAATGCTGCTCTGTGGTTATTAAGCCACTAACTCACTAAGGTCATGAGCCGGTGAGGACTGAGGGAGCAGAAAGGTCTGGCAAGCCTTTCTGGGTCTCTGGGTCCTTCTCTAGGAAGTGACCAGGTTCAACCAATCACAGCTGAGAAGGGATGGGCCTATGTCTTGACAGGAGGGCTGAAAAGGGTAGATTTTTACAATCAAAGAGCCCAGGCTTGGGCCTTGAGATCAGAACAAGCTCCAAAGCTCAAAGTTGCCACTTGCAAACTTACACGGTGAGAGCGGGGTGTCCGTGACAGTAAGACCACAGGGCTGTTGCAAGGACAGTACAGGTTAACCCACATGAGGGTCCAGGGTGATGCCTGACTCGGTGATATAGCTACACATGCTAGCCTGACAGTGGTGGGCTCTTAAGGCCCCCTGGGCTTCTTTATGTTAGCATGCCAGTATCTGGGGTGCAGGAGCTTCCTGTGGCTCTCCTGACTTCTCCCCACATCAGGGCTGCTCCGCTGACATGGATCCATCAACTGGGAACCCCGGCATGTGATCATAACCCCCCCCCATGAAGTAGTTCCATCCCCCTCCTATGCAGACAGTCTCTGGTCAGGTCAGGCAAGGCTCAGGCCAGCAAAAAGGATGGACGCCAAGCAGAAGAGCTGGGTGGCAGTGGGGGGTGGGAGGTCCAGGGAAGATCTACGACAAACTGGACCACACTATCCCCGACCCTACCTGGTTGCTCATACCCTCCCCGGGTCCTCTGGGCTACTTCCTTCTCACGTTTCCGAGTGGCTCCACTTCTGCAGGCAGATCCAGGCAAGGTATGGGCACACAAGGGCACATGTGAGGAACGGTGAGCCGGTGACTATACGTGTAGCCAGGTGTCTCCTGTCAGAACCCCAGCACCTGGCTAACGAGATTATCCTCTGGGGCAGCAGCTCTCAATCTCCCTAATGCTGCGACCCTTTGATACAGCCCCTCACGTTGTGGTGACCCCAACCATAAAACTATTTTTGTTGCTACTTCATGACTGTAATTTTGCTACTGCAAACATCTGGTATGCAGGATAGCTGATATGTGACCCCCGTAAAAGGGTCGTTCAACAACCCCTAGGGGTCACGGCCCACAGGTTGAGAACCACTGCTCTGAGGCGCCTCAAGTCTTTACCCAAAGTTCAAACTTGAATATTCTTTCTGGCCATATGGGGTGGAGGACTCCTCAGGCCTCAGAGTAAAGTCCCTCACCCTGTCCTTCACACCTGATCTACTGAGGACACTACTCAGCCACCTGCCCAGTCCAGTCCACTTGTGGTCTGGG